GTGGTGTGCCGAGTGGTGGCTCTGGTGGCGGGCGTTGTCAGTACCAGATCCAGACCGGTCCTCGCCGCGGTTTCGTTTGCGGTAGGCTCTGTCACTCCACTCCCCGCTGTTTTCGTCGCCTGGACGACCTCTTTCGTCAGCGCTTCGGCCCGTCGCCAGACCTCCCGGACTGGCACAGCTTGCTTAGTCGTAAGATTCAGATTTTTGATATGGACATGGATGCCATTGTTGCTGCTCTGCATGTGATGTATGCTGATGACTCTAGTGTGCTTCCCGCTTATTACTCACTGTTGCCTAGTGTAGGTGTGCCTAGCTTAGCCTCCCCTGCTGCGTCAGGCGTAGGATCCCCTGCTTTGTGTAGTCTTGGTGCTTCCGCCGTCGTTCCGTTGGCAGACGCCTCTGCTTCGCTTTCCTTCACCTTGGACTCTGGCGCTTCTCGGTGTTTCTTCCGCGACTCTACCACCCTGACGCCGCTTCCTGTCCCAGCTGCCGTCTCTCTTGCTGACCCCTCCGGCGGTCCGGTCGTCGCCCGCAGTTCCACCACCCTTCCCTGTCCGGCGGTTCCTTCGGGCTCTCTCACAGGTCTGCATATCCCCTCGTTCTCCAGGAACCTAGTTGGTGTCGGCTGCCTCCAGGACCTTGGCGTCACCACTACGTTCCCTGGTCACGAGCGGTATGCTGTCTGTACCGAGGCCGCCACTGGTGCCCCCCTGTCCACGTTCCCCCGGGACCCGGTGTCCGGCCTGTTCACTCTGGACACCGTGACCCCCCCGGCTGGAGCGCTCCCTCAGGTGGCTGCGTCTACCCAGGTTGCTGCTGCCTGCTCCTGTCGGTCCCTCACTCACCCGACTCTCCTTTGGCACCACCACCTAGGTCACCCTGCGCTCCCGCGTCTGCGTCACATGTCCCAGCACGGTCTTGTCCTTGGTCTCCCAGGTTCCCTCCCCGCGTTTCCCTCCTCCCCAGCCCCACCCTGCACGCCTTGTGTTGAGGGTCGGCTTCGCCGTGCCCCGCACTCCTCCTCGTTTCCCCCTACCGCCGCGCCGCTGCAGACCCTGCACCTGGACGTCTGGGGCCCCGCCCCCGTCCCTGGGCCGCGTCGAGAGCGCTACTTCCTTGTGCTTGTCGACGACTTCACTCGTTACACCACAGTCTTTCCCCTGGAGCGCAAGGCCGACGTGCCTGGCGCTCTCATCCCCTGGCTTGTCTCTGCGCGTGTCCACCGCGGTCTCCCTGTCTTGCGTCTTCACTCCGACCGTGGTGGCGAGTTTGCCTCAGGTGTCCTTGGTCGCTTTTGTCGTGCGGAGGGCATCACCCAGACGTTCACCCTACCGGACTCCCCACAGCAGAATGGGGTCGCTGAGCGACGCATCGGTTTGGTCATGGAGGTGGCTCGCACCTCCATGATCCATGCCGGTGCACCCCATTTTCTGTGGCCGTTTGCTGTGCGCTACGCTTCTCACCAGCTTAACTTGTGGCCGCACCCTCAGCAGCCGCAGGTTTCGCCGACTCGTCTTTGAACTGGGTCTCCTGGTGACGCGTCTGCGTTCCACGTCTGGGGCTGCCTTGCTCACGTCCGTGCCTCCGGCACGGACAAGCTCACTGCCCGCACCCTTCCCTGGGTCTTCCTTGGTTTTCCCTTTGACGCGTCCGACTGGCACTTTTACCACCCGCCGTCTCACCGCTTCTTTCACTCTCGTGACGTCACCTTTGACGAGTCCGTCTCCAACTACCGTCGCTTCCCCCACCGTGGTCCCCCGGTTACCCCCCCCCTGTTCCTGGTCACTCCTTCCCCGGTAGTCCCTGCCCCTCCTCCTCCTCCTCCCCGTCCCGCCCCCTCTGGTGTGTCCCACGTCACCCCCCTTCCGTCGGTGGACCCGGTTGAGGAGTCTTCTGACTCTGGTGGCCCTCCTGTTCAGTCCTCGCCGGCCGCCCCTCCCCCAGCGTCCCCTCCCTAGTCCCCCCCTCCACCGCCTCTGCCGCCGCTGCAGCCGTCGTTGTCGCTGCCGCCGCCGCCGCCGCCACCGCCGCCGTCGCAGCACCCGTTCGCTGACTCTGGGGGTGCTCGTCTCGGTAGCCCTGGGGGTGGTCCCTCTGGGGGTGCTGGTGTGGAGAGTGCCGGTGGTAGCCGAGGAGCAGCTTGCGGTCCCGGTGTCGCCGTTGTGCCGCCGCCGCAGCAGTCCCCGCCGGTGTCAGCCCTTCGCCTGCTCGGCCTTCCGTCCCCCGACCCTGCGTCGGTTCCTCCCCGGCCGTCCCCTCCTGTTCCTGTCTACGGCCCTGTCTTCCCTCCGTCGGACTCGTCCCCGGCCCGTCTCCCCCCTCGTTCCCCTCCTGTGTCCCCTCCTCTGTCTCCTGACCCGACTCCTCCGTCGCACGTCTGGTCTCACCGTCCCTCCCGCGCTCGTCCTGCCTCGCCTGTCTTGCGCTCCCACCCTATGTTGCTTCGTTCCCACGTGTCTCGTCCTCCCCTTCTGCCGTCGCCTCCTCCGTCCTCTCGTGTTGTTGCACCCCCCCCCGCTGTCTGACTACCTTTGTGCCGCTCGTCCCCTTGTTCCTCGGGTCCTTGCCTCTCTCGTTACCGACCCGTCTGTTCCGACCTCGTGCCTTGACGCTCTTGTCGCTGCTGTCGCTGACTTCGCCTCTACCTGCCGCCTTGACTACGCCTCCGCTCTGGTCTCTGACCCTGCCTGTCCTCCGTCTGTCGGGGGTGCTCCTGCCCTTGGCAATGACGTCCTGGAGGACCGCCAGTTCGAGCTTGCTTTCCTCTCCGAGGCCGCTCCCCATCTCTGTTCCATGCTGCTAGTCCCTGAGGGTGACCCAGACGCTTTTGACATCCCGACCCCTCGCACTTACGCTGAGGCGACTTCGGGACCCTGGGCCTCGCAGTGGATAGCTGCCATGGAGCAGGAGATGGCATCTTGGAGATCCACCGGCACCTTCGTCGACGCAGTTCCCCCACCTGGGGAGAACGTAGTCGATGGCCGCTGGCTCTTCAAGGTGAAGCGCCCTCCTGGAGAGCCGCCTGTCTTCAAGGCGCGCTCCGTGGCTAGAGGCTTCAGTCAGCGCGAGGGGGTGGACTTCTTCCAAACCTTCGCTCCGACCCCGAAGATGACTACTCTTCGGGTTCTGTTACACCTAGCTGCTCAGCGTGACTACGAGCTTCACTCCCTCGACTTCTCCACTGCCTTCCTTCAGGGCAGCCTACACGAGCAGGTCTACCTGCGGCGCCCTCAGGGCTTCACTGGCACCTTCCCTCCTGGGACCCAGTGGCTCCTGCGGCACCCCGTCTACGGCCTGCGGCAGGCTCCCCGTGAGTGGCACGACACTCTCCGTGCTACGCTTGCTGACCTGCAGTTCTTTCCGTCTTCCGCAGACCCTTCACTCTTCGTTCGTGCTGGCCAGACTCCGTTCTACATCCTTGTTTACGTCGACGACCTGGTCTTTGCCACAGCTGACAGGGACGCACTGGCCTCCGTGAAGGCAGAGCTGCTGAAGAGACACACGTGCACTGACCTTGGAGAACTGCGCCGTTATCTTGGCTTGCAGATCTCCAGGGACAGAGCTGCGTGCACCATCACCCTGACTCAGTCACACTTGGTGCGCCAGGTCCTTCAGAGGTTCAGCCTTCAGTTCTCCTCTGCACAGCCCACCCCTCTGCCTGTAGACCACAGACTCTCCGCTCCAGTGTCTGAGGAGTTGGTAGAGCCCAGCGGCCCCTACGCAGAGCTGGTGGGTTGCCTCATGTACCTGATGACTTGCACTCGCCCAGATCTCGCATACCCTCTCAGCATCCTGGCTCGCTTTGTGGCCACAGGCAGGCACTGACCGCAGCACTGGTCTGCCGCTAAGAGGGTTCTGCGTTATCTTGCTAGTACATCGGGCATGGGGTTAGTGCTAGGAGGACGCAGGCCAGTGGTCCTTACTCGACACACAGACGCTTCGTGGGCAGACGACGCTGAGACACTCAGGTCTACCCAGGGCTACTGCTTCAGCCTTGGCTCAGGTGCCGTCTCGTGGAGAGCTACCCGCTCCTCGTCTGTTGCGCAGTCCAGCTGTGAGGCTGAGATCTACGCTGGTGCCATGGCGGCACAGGAGCTTCGCTGGCTGACCTTCTTGCTCACCGACTTAGGTGAGCGGCCTAGCTCTGCCCCGGTCCTGTTCGCTGACAACAGGGCCATGATCCTCCTGTGTCAGGAGCCTCGACTTGAGGGCAGAGCAAAGCACATTCAGCTGCGGTACTTCCTCCTGCGTGAGCTACAGCAGCGACGTCAGGCTCGCGTAGTACACTTGGCCTCATGTGCCAATACGGCTGATATCTTTACGAAGGCGCTTGCGCCTAAAGATCATCAGCGGCACTGTGTACAGCTTGGTCTAGTTCCTGTAGCCTCTCACTTGCTAGGACCTTGACTTTGTACTGTCCTTTATACGTATACTCAGACTGGACTTGTGTCCTCTCTCAGTGGCTGGACTAGTAGTGCCGCCCTGCTCTTGTTTTTGCCTTGTTTGTACTCCTTCTGTCTGGTCTCTCAGACCCTTGTCTCAGAGGTTGGACTAGTAGTGCCGCCCTGAGCTGTTTGTTTAGAGCATTCCCCTATGCAGTCTAGGGGGTGTGTCAAACATGTGTATTTGTCATGTTTGTATAGACTGTATAGGGTCGTCTCTTAGAGAGTACAACACTTAGGTATATCTGTGTGTACACTCTATCTATCATTCAATTTCTCAGTTTCTGATACACGGAACCAGCTCGCACTGCGCCAGCGCGCTCGGTTGGGAGACGTTCGGCTTTCCAACCACACCTAGCTATCCTCGCTATCCATACAATTCAATAACACGTTTCGTTACCCTGAGGACATTGCGATTTGTGATTTACATTAACTTACATCTTCACCTACAATTGTTTTAGATAACTAACTACGCTACCCCTCCGACGTTTTCACATCGATACTTGTCCAGTATGTTTCAATCACTTTGAAAATCAATCATGCCAAGTTCTTGAGGAAATCAAATAGAAATCTTGATTGCTATTTTAGCCACAGGATTTAACAGGCCACCTCCAAACCAGTCTTAAAAATCTTTACAATGAAGTATATGTCACAGTGGGGGGGGGCGGGGGGGGGGAGAGTCAGGATTAAGCAGGGCATGACTTCATTGTGCACTAACTTCAACAGGTGCACCAGCTGCCGCCGTCTCAGGCCCAGGGGGAGGCGGAACAGTTCTCCTCCAGAGCAGCTCCCGGGCTCCATCCTTGTCGACAATCTTGATGAGGAAGTTGGGCGGCGACACAAGGAGGCGCGAGCGCACCTCGGCAATGCAGCGGTCCAGCACCTCGAGGGCCTCGTCCAGCGACATGTTGTCCTTGTAGTACTTGTCAAAGATGGAGAGCACAAAGTACGCACCTGCAGGAAAGGAGGGCCAGGAAAGTGGGGGATTTGGATGAGAACAAGAGTCACGAGGAAAGCCAGACAGAGGGGAAAGACGGATGCAGAAAGTGCATGATCCTTGAAAGCAATATCGAAGAGAGGAAATGAAAGGGGCGGGGGGGGGGGGGGGTGGATTGTGCCAGGGAATCAGGGATAGATATAGATATAAATGCTGCCAGAGCAGCACACATAGAGAGAGGGGAAGAGCTGCCCATGACGTACAGTAGCCGATGGCGGTGTGCTTGACTTTGTGCAGCGTGGCGAGGTAGTCCAGGTAGTAGAGCGATGGGCCCACATCCTTGTCAAACCCCGCTAGCAGCATGTTCGTTTGGTACGAGCCCTGAAGTAAGTGTACGTGTATGTGTACGTGCATGTGTACGTGCATGTGTACGTGTATGTGTACGTGTATGTGTATGTGTACGTGTGCACGTGTACGTGTGCACGTGTATGTGCACGTGTATGTGCACGTGTATGTGCACGTGTATGTGTACGTGTATGTGCACGTGTATGTGTACGTGTATGTGTACGTGTATGTGCACGTGTATGTGCATGTGTATGTGCATGTGTACACGTACATGCATGCGGGCAATGGAGAACGGGGGGGGGGGGGGGGGGGGAAGAGGAGGGGAAGAGAGGGGGGGGGGCAGAGTGCAGAAATTGGTGGGATTATGATGACAAGCAGAGGGAAAAAGACATGCGAAAGGAAAACGAGGCCCATCTCAATGTCAGTGCTGCATCCTGTTTTCACAAGCTGTTGTGAGGGGTCCGCCCATGTGTTGGATAGGGATGATGGAAACAAGGGAGGAAACCAGCAAAAAGCAGGATCCAGTGCAACATGACGCCACAGGGAGAAAATACTGAGTGTGGGTGCCCGGCACAGGAAGGAGAAAATAGCCGGAGGAGGAAGTGAAGCTGGCGACGGATGAAAGAAAAGGTGATACTGATAACATAGATGTTTTAAAACCGCGAAAGAAGAAGAGGAGGATCATAATTGAACGCCTCTAATACACAGTTTCTGAAAATTCTGAGGGCGGGAGGGAGGGAGGGAGGCAGTCTGACCCGAGAGCGCAGAGCAGTGGCGAGCTCGAGGCGGGTGAAGTTGGCAGCAGCTGCGGTGGAGAGGGAGATGCTGTTGCGGAAGGCGTACAGGTGGACGTTCTTCTGAATCAGCTCCGAGAATTGCACCCTGGCAGAGCATAGGGACGGGCATGGGCATGGGGATGGGGATGGGGATGGGGACGGGCATGGGGATGGGGATGGGGATGGAGCGGCGAGGGGAACGGGGCGGCGTGGGAGACTATTAGAGAGTACTTAGGGGCAGCAGCGTATTGAGGAGAGGTGCAAGTGTGGAACAGGAGCTGGCCCAGATCAGCAGAGTAACTCGTGTTGATATACTGGTGCTGTGCTCCCATGTTTTTACGCAGGTAGGGTGTGAGACAGGTGGAGGTGGACGGGGGGGTGGAGGGAAGGGGGATGATGGAAACGAGAGGAGAGAAACGGAGGAAGAAAACTGGAAGGAGAGAGCGTGGAGGACAACTGGCGAATGATTGGGATGCCAACTGGCCGGACGGGAGGAGAATGTGGAAGAGTAGGCGAAGTAGGACGGTTAGATATTCCGAATCGACGAGGGAGATTCCCCATGCGCAGGGTAACTAATTTTGCGCGCTTTCGCCCTAAACTTGGAGAGAAGCAGGCGACATCGGGTAGGAAACCTAAACCAGAGTCGATAGTGAGTGTAACGTAGGCGAATCGAGACTCTGACGGATTGGATCTAAGGAGGAGAAACTGGAGCTGTAAACTGGGCATGACGGATCGAGCCCTAACTGATAGGTCGGACTCGTGGGTCACATAACCCGATCTCCCACCAGAAAGGAAGAAGGGAGGGGGGAGAAAACGGACAGAGAAAAGGCGGAGTGAGACGATGGTTCAAACGGAAGGGGCGACTTGAATCTCACTCTTCCCTGTCAATGAATCTAATTCAACACAGTGACCTGTCGACGAATCCCCCTCACCTATCGCCTGCCTCGCCTGACGTCGCGAGTAACTTGGTCTCATCAAGAATCATGATCTTATCCTCGTCCGTTTTCTTAATCACGATCGACTGGTTCGCTGACGTGTCCGCCACGACTAGCGCGAAACCGTCGCCTACCAGACCGAAAAGGCAGTCCATGGCGCACGGAGCACGATACGATCAGCGCCGAGCAACCAGCAGCCCAAACAGAGCAACGTGCAATTTGTATGGAAAGGGGAGGATATAGGAGCTACCCGACGGCGATCTGACAGGGGAGTATGGGAGAGGGCGAGGTGATTCTGCACTGATAAGGCGGCCTACGGCGGCAAAGGAATTAGAGGTAGCAGCAGATTCGAGCTAGAGAATGGAGGGTTGGGTTGGGATGGGTTGGGAGAGGCAAGAGCCACGAGAAATGTGGCGAGGGTGGTGAAGGGGAGATTCCCTTTACGTTGAGCACTCGTTAATTTGAAAGTTCATTAGGACAACGGTTACGAATGCTTATGACTGTAAGTAAACAAGCATGGAGAATTATACTGTAAGAAGTAAAATGAGTGATAAAACATCATAACCATTAGGATCAAATTCAAGCACAACCCTTTATCAGATGCAAAAATATGTAATTTTTACTCATACTTCGTTACAGTTTTTTCCGTTAATTACCACGCTAGTTTTTATGGTTGCTCAGGCGAGTGTTCTAAGGAATTTTATTCATTACCGGGTTGTACTGCATCGCGTACACCCGAACGCCCGGAAGACCAGGCTCGGTCCATTTCCGCCGCCTTTGACCCTTTCGACCGCGCCTGTACTCAACGTAGCCCTCCGGGGTCCTCGCCTAGCTAGGGCTCTCACTATATAGTGCTAGGCTCTCATTCTTGTACTCGCCATTATTATTCCGCGCACTCTCAGTTATTATTCATAACATCTGGTATCATAGTTATTTTCCTGGTTCACCCATTCTTTCTCATAGTAGTTTATTTCCAAGGCGTGATTAACCCTGCGGGGCTACAAAGCGGTTGTCCATGAGCTAGAGTTATTAGCTCACACGAGTACGGTAGCGTTTGCGTCCCCTGCGGTTTCTTACCACGGCCTTCTCTCTGCCTGAAAGGCGAAGCATTCGTATCATAACTCAGGCCCAGCTAGACGAGGTCATGGCTCAGATGCAGGCAATGCAGACCCAGATGACGAGTTTGAACAGTGAAGTCATGAGACTTCAGACGGAGAAGACGGAGCTTTGCCAGACGCGTAGTGAAGTGCCTCAGGAGTCACCCGGTGTCGCAGAGAATAATGCGGCGAGCGAGACCGTCCTTGACAAGCTCGCATGGGAACTGGAGCAGAACGACGTGCACATTGTGCAGAACTCAAGCCGGCCACGCCGCCCCTGTTCAACCCCATGGACAAGGCGACAACTGTGCAAGGGTGGCTGTTCAGCATGGAGATATTCTTTACGGCTACAAGTGTGCATGCGGACGACACACACATTGATTATGTTGTGTCGCTACTTCGAGGACAAGCGTTGGATTGGTGGCGACGTCAGTTGGCGACAGGGACTCTGGCAGGCGTGAAGCAGGTGAAGGACGGGACTTCGTACTCTTCTAACCAACGAGCATAAGCAATATTCGGTACGAACACGATTCGCACATGGAGGTAGAGCTCTACGATCTCGTTTTGAGAACTCATCCGCCTAGGACGACGCTCGTACGAAGCTGCGCAACTGGCGGCAGGTAACTAATATTCAAGATTACACTGCATCGTTATCGACACTTGCAGACCAAGTTGATGACCTCAGCGAAGCTGCAAGGCGGGACAGATACATTACAGGGCTGTATTTCGACATTCAGTACGAGTTGCAGCGGTCCATTCCTAAGACGTTCGATGAAGCCGTCCAACTGGCGTCAGCTGCCGATGCACTTCAGCAGTGGGCGAGAAAGAACAACAGGAATGCTGGTCGTTTTCGTGGACAGTCTTCCAGCCCCACGATCAATGACGTGTCGGCCCCTGTGGAGAATTTTCGGGGCTATGTTTTAGGTGTGGCAAGCCACGTCACCGAGCTAAGTTCTGCCCGAAGGCGCCCAAGACGACGAAGAACGACAAGGAAAAGCCGGGAAATGGGAAAAGTCAGAGGCAGACGGACCCCGTAGTGACGAGGCAGCAGCGTTCCCACCAAGTTGTGGTACCGATACACGCTATCGACCGCACTCGGCCGAATAGCGGGGGCGAACCCGAAGATCACCCTGTGCTGGTCGAAGGCAAGATGAATGGTAAAAAAGTAAAGCTATTTGTGGATGGCGGGACTAGTCACAGCCTCATCCACAAGACACCAACGAAGCAGTTGAAGCTGACGTTAGAGAAATGTCTCCCCAAAATTGACACACATTTGGTGGACGGGAATCCATTCGCGATTCGGGAGCAAGCACGCATGGTGTAGATGAAGTGTGGCGACGATTTCGGGTTCAGCATGCCCATGCTGGCAACGACGCTAGATGGCTGCAATATCATCATGTGCAGCATGCGACTGCCACAAGACGGCATTCCGAACCCGCTACGGCAGCTACGAGTACACGGTGATGCCGTTCGGCCTCACGAACGCACCCTCGACATTCTAGCTGACCATGAATGGCGTGTTCATGGACCAACTCGACAAGTGTGTTATTGTGTACCTGGATAACATCCTCATCTTCAGCAAGACCAAGGAACAACACCTCAAGGACATCGACACGGTTTTCCAACGGCTGCAGCAGAATCGCCTCATCACAACGGGCTCTAAGTGCGAGTCCCTAAAATCCGAACTGATTTTTTTGGGAGACGTCGTTGGAGCGGACGACATCAAGATCGACCCGAAGAAAATCACCATTATTCGCGACTGGAAGCCGCCCACGAATTTACAGGAGCTGTATACATTTTTTTTTGCTTTGTCAATTACGTTCGGCGTTTTATCCCCAATATGGTAGGGACAACCGGACCCTTAACTCACCTGCTGCAGAAGGGCACTCCGTTTGAGTGGGGGGAGAGACAGCAGACTGCTTTCGACGAACTCTGAAAAATTCTGATGTCATCCGCGGTCCTCCGAGTCGCCGATCCATCACGACCGTTCGAAGTTCTGACGGAGGCCAGCGATTTTGTCATCGGAGCGGTACTGTTACATGTCTTCAGTGATGAACTCCAACCAATTGCGTATGAGTCCAGAAATTTGCAGGCAGCCGAGCACAACTACCCCGTCCACGACTATGAAATGCTCGCCATTGTACATGCGTTCAAGGTGTGGCGCTGCTACCTGACAGGAGCCGACGTGACAGTGTGGACAGACCAAAAATCCCTACAGTACCTCCATGTGTAGCCGGACCTCAATCCACAACAGATTCGCTGGCTGGATTTCCTCGAGTTCAAATTCTACTATACCACCATCTACAAACGTGTGGTGAATAACATCGCCGATGCACTGACACGACCGTCCGCCCACCTCGCCTCCATCATCATTGCCAAATCCAACCCTCTCTTCACCAGACTATTTACTCACGGCTACGCCACCGCCCCATTCTTCACCAGCAACCTCCACCAGCACGTTACCACAGCCAAGGGAATTTATTTCCTAAAAGCCTGTACTGACCGCATATGGGTCCCTGCTTACCGACTCATTCGCGAACTACTTTTCAAGAAGTCCATGATTCTATTTTCTCCTATCATTTCATGGTTGACAAAACCTTAAAGTTCCTTCACCATTACTATTACTTGCCTGATTCGTCGTCTAATGTGCAGAGATCCGTCGCAATGTGTCCGATATGCCAACGCATAAAGTCCTCTCGACAGCGGCCTACTGGATTGCTGCTACCGCTCTAGCCACCCCTGAAGCCGTAGCAGCACGTGACGATGGATTTCGTCATAGAACTCCCTGCTGCGCTAGTGGGAACGATGCCGTCCTCGTCGTCATCGGTCGCCTGACGAAGATGGCGCATTTCGACAATCACAGCCGAAGAGATTGCGATGATGTTCATCTTCACCGTTGTTCGACTGCATGACCTACCATCGGCGATCATCAACGACCGCGACCCCAAGTCCACGTCCAAGTTTTGGCAGGAAACCTTGGAATAGTACGGCACCCGCCTGCAATTTTCGTTAGCCTATCACCCGCAAACCGACGGCTAGACCGAACGCACCAATCAGACCATGGAGCTGTTGATACGCACCAACTTCCTTGATCATGCTCGGTTGGAAGAATTCCTACCCATGTTGGATTTTTCCTACAACAACGCCCCATCTGCAATTACTAATCGCTCGCCATTTTTCCTAAACCACGGGATAGACTCTACCGTACGTACGACAACAAACATCGACAACCTTGTCCCCCCTCTCCTTGTAGTTTGTTAGCGAGCTTCAGACTGCCCTGGAAACAGCGATCGAGTTTATTTGCAAATCCAATACCACTGCTATACGTTACACCGATCTTCATCGCCGCAATATTACCATGGCCGCTAGGCAACTAATCCTTCTCGACATGAAGAACCTCCGCCTGCCTCTGCCCTCCAAGCTCCGGCCACGATTTTGCGGGCCATTCCACATCATCAAAATGGTGGCACCTATCACGACGAAATTATTACTGCCGGACGAATGGTGCATTCATGGCGCTTTCCATGCCATCCTCCTTCGTTCTTACCTCTCCAGCACGTCAGCAGTCGAACGACCACTGGCCGTCTCCAGTGTCCGTCCGATGGCCGAACCAGCACTCGAGCCTTTCCGGCTTCTGAGTCATCGCATCCGCCTCGACGCTACAGGACGCCATGCGGATTTCCTTGTCTGCTGGGCAGACCATACAAGCGAAGACGACACTTGGGCCACTTCCAACTCGCTTCAGGAACACTCGGTGCTCATTATCAGAATTGAAAATTGAATAATAGATAGAGTGAGAGTACACAAAGATATACCTAAGTGTTGTACTCTTTAAGAGGCGACCCTATACAGTCTATACAAACATGACAAATACACATGTTTGACACACCCCCTAGACTGCATAGGGGAATGCCTTAAACAAACACCTCAGGGCGGCACTACTAGTCCAACCTCTTAGACAAGGGTCTAAGAGACCAGTCAGAAGGAGTACAAACAAGGCAAGAACAAGGGCAGGGCGGCACTACTAGTCCAGCCAATGCAAGAGGACACAAGTCCAGTCTGAGTATACGTATAAAGGACAGTACAAAGTCACGGTCCTAGCAAGTGAGAGGCTACAGGAACTAGACCAAGCTGTACACAGTGCCGCTGATGATCTTTAGGCGCAAGCGCCTTCGTAAAGATATCAGCCGTGTTGGCACCTGAGGCCAAGTG